TTTTTCTTCATTACCCATTCAAGCCGTCTCCAGCCATTATTATATAGGAAATAGTTTTCTTCCCTTACCAAATTCTTTTCTTTTTTTTTAAAGAGATTTTGATTTATTTTTGGATAAAGGAATCCAAATTGATACAGTATATGCTTATTTTTGGAATGTCTTTCACAATTTGCTACACAAAAATTAATTAATCTGGAAAAAGTAAATGAAAAACTGCTTAAATGGTAGAAAAAAAAACGTTAATCAATAGGATATTTTCCCACTTTTTTCCCATTTTATAATTATATTCTGAATATTTATAAACCCAATTAAGTAATACATTATAAATTTCACATAAAACACTTACTAAAGTATTTCAAAAATGTAATAATACTGAAACAAGTTAATTAAACTTCAATATTTTTTGCACAGTTGAAAATTATGCAGATCAATAATTTTAATTTCACTGTCTGTTTATAAAGAATTTTACAGATAATATTTATCATTTAAGGCTTTAACTTTTAAGTAAAAAAACAAAAAAGTCCGACGTCAAATGTTGCAAGTTATGTGTATACATGTTGTTACCAAATCTAGTAGTAGTAGTAATACAGTAAACGATAACACTTAACTTAGCGACAACGTACAACACATAGCTGGAAAACCCGAAAAGTCGCCGAAATCAGTGAAAGTTATTACCGACTTACTTTTACTTACGACGAAAATACTCTCTAAGAACCATTTCATGCTAACTTAAGAAAAATTTAATTACCATTCTTCACTTCAGTCTCCGAGCGAGAGAAATAAATTACACAGCAGATCTAGTATTCTTCAGATTTGCATATACTATAGAGCTAAATTCCACGTTACTCCTTCCGCTCTCCAACTAACACTAATATATCTCTGACTAGGCCTACAGTACTACAAAACATACAAATGGCGTCAAGTGATAAGCCAAAAGCGACACCACCTAATACCAATTTAATTTTTTTTTCTCAAAACTTAACATAGTGTTTGGACAACAAGGAACTATTTCATCCTTCAAGATTGTTCTTGCAAGTCGACCCTCAAGAAAAGTAAACATTTTCCGTCTTTTCCAAATCATAAACATACATCCTCTGGTTCTATAATCTTCGGAGGAAAGCAAAAAAGAACGGGACCTTCCTCTTATCGATCCTCCGGATAATGTTTTAAACTTAAAAAATATTATATCTTATTTTCTCACAAGAAAATAAATTAAGAGATCTTAACCTGTACCTATAAGATAACCCTTCCATCTCCGGAATTATTCTTGTATTACTATTAATAACCTCCTCTGAATTCTTTCTCAGATAAGAAGACTGAGGTTGTGCACACTATTCCAAGTGAGGCCTAACTAGTGATTCGTAAAGAAAGATAATTACATATTTTGACTCGTAATCGATTGTCTACAAAGTATAAGTACACCCTGAAATGCTATTAGCTTTGCTACTAGCAACAGAGAACTACTTCGATGGCTTGAGTAACTTATCTATCACAACGCAAAAATCCATTTCTTCTGACACACTATTGTATGGATTGCCATCTATATTAAACGGGTTATATATATTATGACAATCCAGATGAATTATCTTGCATTTATCAGAGTTAAAGGTCATTTGCCAAATACATGTCCAACTTACCAATTGATCCAAGTCATTTTATAATGCCTCAACCTCATCAATACAGCTAGAAATACCTTAGAGTATATAATGTCATCAAAGAAAATATCAGTTTACTAATTATGCCTCTTTCAAAATCAATAATGTAAAGAAGGAAAAGTGGAGGCTCAGGCCCTAACTCCTGAGCCATTCCACTAATAACAAGGATCCAGTTTGGCTAGATTCTATCAACAAGAACCTTTTGATTTCTTTCATCTAGCCATTATACAATTTAATTAATTATAATTTTTCCCAAGCACTTATCGATGTAATCTTCTTAGCTAAACTTTTACATGGCACCATGTCAAAAGCCTTTTAAAAATTTAAGTCCAACTCTACACCTTTTCCATCGTTCAGGTAACATGTATCGTTCTAGAAAGAGAAAAAATATTATTAAGGCAAAATTTAGTTTTGGTGAATTCGTGTTGGGTTTCTTTCTTTTATAACCCAATTAACCGCTTCAAAATACACAAAAGTATGTTCAATTAAAAATCCTTGAATAAAAATCCTGGATTTACTTGTTCTGCAAAACTCCATTCATTAGTTGTGAATATATTGTGTAGATGGCTTGCTATTTGTGCTTCATTTCGGGCTAAGATAATAATAGTCTGTTGGGTTAGCCTATTATACAAGGTTGTAATGTGCTTACCACGGCTGGAGTATGACTTGTTGTAAATATTTTTCTGGAGGACCCTGGTACCTGAAGTTGATCCATATTTCTTTGTTTTCCAATGCCATGAAGTACAGGAGATATCCCCGTCTTGAAAATTCTTAATTCCCGATTACCTTTATAATTTGAGTACATGAATGTTGTCCAAGAAGGCTCTTACAGACCCTTCCCTAAAGCCACAGACGGTGGGACTTGGGAGGGTTGGGGCATTGAGGTCATGTAGTGAAGTGACCCTGTGTAAAATTATCAGGGAGAGTTGCTGTTTCAACTTTGAATTCAATAGTCACGGTTAACATAGCCTAATGCCAAAAGTGATCAACTTTCGATGGCATCGCAATAGTTACGAAATGCCAAACAATGTTAAAATGTATTTCTGATACATACCGTTCCATAGCAACTTTATATCAGCTATAGACGTCACGCAACTTCCTGATTTGCATATTCAAAATCGTTCTAGTATAACGTACTTAACCTTTATGACAGATAAATATAATTCTAATGATGGGCATTACTGTTGTAGATAATGTAACAGAAGAGCCTTTGTTTATAACTCTAGGTACTGGTTTACTGAGAAGTTCTTCATGTTTATATTCTTTTGATAACTAATCATGCCACTGATTTAGTCCCTTTGTCAAGATCATTATAGAAGTCGAAATGTCATATCCTTTCCTTTCAACAGGCAGTTGTAGTCCATTAAAGTTTTCTGTAGTTTCTTGAGCAGCTTTACAGCACCTAGAAACAAGGTTTCGATATCCGTGTTGGGTAGAGCATAGATAGCCCTTTGTGTAGCTTTGTGCTTAACTCAAAACAAACAACTTTCAAATGCATTTTTCAATTTCTTGGCCGTGCTTTAGTAACTTAGTAAGGAGTATAAATTATCAGCCATGTTCTTGATCTGGGTCTTCAATTTTTCTTGTATCCTTTTCAGTACACACACACACATTTACATATGTTTTATATATATATATATTGTTATATATGTCTATTGTTTTTTGTTTGATTGTTTTTCTGCTACGATTTTTCCATTGCTTTCAAAATTATTGTAGACTAGTAAAAATTATGATGTATTTTAGATTGTAACCGACAGGAACCAAACAATAACACTTAATTCTTGATATGCAAATTCTTTACACACCGATTCTAAAATAAACTTCTAAAGACGAATTGTTTTGAGGTAGCATTTGTTTGTTTGTTTGTTTATAATTAAGCACAAAGCTACACAATGGGTTATCTGTGCTCTGCCCACCACGGGTATCGAAACCTGGATTCTAGCGTTGTAAGTCCGCAGACATACAGCTGTGTCACTGGGGGGCATTGAGGTAGGAAAAAACAACAACACTGGACCTTTGAATGACGTGAATGAAATTTTGTTTCAAACAGCTAGGCCAATCGTTCCTTGTGGTTAATGTGCCAAGCTGCAGAACAGAAAATCCAAGGTTCGAGTCCGCTATCTGCCGCTAAACACTCCACATTTTTAGTTCTGGACGCGTTATAAAAGTGACACTTAATCATGCTATTAGGTTAAGAGTAGCCGCGGTCAGCAATTCAAAATTAGGGACGATTATGTCTGAACGTTGGAGTTTCTAATCTGGCCATTTTGTTCATCTGTTGTTTAAAGGTACTAAATACCTTTCAAGCCGTAAATTAAGCTATATCATTAATGTGACTACACTCGATTTAAAATAAACACTTCATTTCTTTTTTCTTGATAATCTGCTATAATTATAAAATTTAACATTTACTTCAGTAAAAATAAATAACTCCAATTTTTCTGGATCAAGCCCGAATCACTACAAACCATAAAACATATAAATACAACAAGATATACTAAACAGGGAACACCGACAGTTGTGTTTAAATCGTTTTACATTATCTTTCAGTTACTCGTTTAAATTTAATGTCAGTACTCGCACGAAACGTACAGCCTTCAAAGGTGATTTAGTCACCACGTGTACAGCTACACGTTGTATAGTTACCAAGGTTAAAGTTTCGATTGGTAAATACCAGATTAATATTTGAAAGAAACGGCTAATAGAAAGACTTTTCCAGGAAGCTTTAATATGCTACTATTGCTCTGAATATTCTCTTTGTGCTGTTGCTAAGTTACATGCAGCACACTATGCTAAACTGCATGCTTCAAAAATGGGAATGAAATTAATCCATTCGGTGACATGTTTGAGATACGAGTACGTGTTTAACGGTTCTTAAAATTCACGGATACAGTATATGGAAGTAGGTGTGGCTCACCGTTCGACAATTAAGTTTCGTAGTTAATCTTAAAACTTTATTTACAATAGAAAAATGTATTTGTATAATAAATTGTCACGAAATAGGATACGACTATTTAAATGACTAGATATTTTTATGCTCTTTCTGTTTTAAATGTTAGTATTTGACCTGTCAACTATTAGCTCACAGAGAAAGTATGTTTTTTATACTTCCCACCTTTTATCGCCCACTCAACAACCACGCAACATTCCGCGCATGTTTTTTGTTTTTTTACAAGTTGTTTGTAGATAACCTTCTACCCACGGTATCTCTTTCATCCTCTTTCCCCCCTACAGACTATGAAACAGTCTGCTCTGTCAGTAACAATGCTGTTGATTTATCGAAACCAACCAACATGTGTGTGTGTGAAAAAATATTAATGTAGAAAGTCCTGCCTTTAAAAACCAAACAGAAACACGTGACTGTTTATTGTTTGTATATACCCTGTCCACCCAATAAACTGAGAGTGTAAGCATCGGGGTCCGTAAACTCTCGACTTGAAAATGTTTTGATACAATCTCAAACTGGATTTTCTTGTGAGTTTAAAACTGTCAAGATAACACGTGTCATGACTTTATAAACAGAGAGTTTTTTTGGTGTTTAAGCACCAAAGCCAGCGAATGTACTTTTGTTCTTCAAGTGTTCTATGATCATGTAATTAACGTGACTCTAAATATCAGTGGTTCGCCTCATACTTTCTGATTGATATTCAAAAGTCCATTGAGTTCAAATGGGACTGCTATAAATCACATATAAAAAATTGTTTAAAACTTCATCAAAAGACCTTTAAATGAGCCCCGTTACCTGAGAAACGTGCAACTGAATAACGTTTTACTGTTTGCATACACAGTAGTCAATATCTACATTATATTCTCGCCTATGTCTGTTGAGTTATTCTTTTCAAAATCTCAAAAACTATACAGTTATTCAGAGGAAATTACGATTGTATATTCCGTTCTCTGTATGTTGACTTATTCTAGTCAAAATCACCCTCCAGTGGTACAGCGGTATGTCTGTGGACTTACAACGCTAGAAACCGGTTTTCGATACCCGTGGTGGGCAGAGCATGGATAGCCCATTGTGTATATTTGCGCTTAACTACAAACAAATCTAGTCAAAATCACAAAAAAATGTAGAGTTTTTCAATGTTAAGAGAGGGGGAAATGTCGATGTGTATTCACTACTACGTCTGTTGAGTTATTCCACTAACTGACAAGTGACATGTGGTGTTTAAAATATCACTACAAACAGGGAACCTTCCCCTCCGATTGTTTTTATAACTAAAACAAGGATGAAGAAAACATACGTCTGAGTTTTTCTAGTCTATTGTAAGTTAAAGACACGTGTGATTCTACGCTTTAATAAACCTGAAAGAACCAAGTTTTGAACCATGATTGTCCTTAACATGCCTTGAATATTTCATCGGAAAGTCAACTTTTTGTATAATGATGATGTTCAATAGTTAGCGGATGGTGGTATGAAGTAAATATAAAAGGTCATACTGGCTGTCCCTGTACAAGTTTCGTGAAAGTAATTTCAGATTCCAAAATGAAAGGACAGCTTCATTGGTGGACTTAATCCAATACCAAAATCAGCTTCATTTGTATACCAAAATATACGGATAAGCAGGTTTCAAAGTGAAATCTTAAATTTAAATTAGTATGTTTGTTTTAAAAACTCAGTACAAAGCTACACAAGGGCTACCTGTGTTAAGCCGTCCTTAATTTTGAACTGACAGAATTGGAGAAAGCAGCCTGTAAACAGCACCCATCGCCAACACTTGAACTACTATCATCGGACCAAACAGTGGGATTTCATCGTCACCTGTACAGCGCACTCATGACCCCAAAATGCGGAGCACACTTTTTTAAAAACAACGGCGCACTAACCATGAATCTCATATTCTCAGGCTGGGCAGACTAGCCACTTGACCACGGCCCGTCCTATGCCGCCAATGAATTGAAGTACGTTCAAAATTAAAAAGCAAAAATATAAGACATTTACCGTTTACTGATTTCTTATAAAAACTTTAGTAGTTTTGAAACAATAAGATATTTCAAACATTAGAACTTAGTTGCTGGCAACCCGATGGGTCAGCGATAAGTTTACGGACTTACAACGCTAAAATCTCAGGTTTGATTTCCCGCGGCAGACAGCAGTGTTGCCAGATTTCGCAACAAAGACAAGCCCTATGGCAGGGGTCGGCAACACTCCAAAGAAGAAGAGACATTTTTATGTTTTTTTTTGTCTAAGATCAAAACATTTCGAGAGCCGCGATATGCCCTAGAGGTCTCACCTAAAAAAAAAAAAAGGTTACCCCGCTGGGACCACGGTAACTCTTCGAATTTAAAACGCTAAAATCAAAGGTTCTATTCCCCTCGGTGGACACAGCAGATAGCCCGAGAGCCGCAAGTTTCTGACCCCTGCACTGTGGGCTCTGAAAACGAAACCTAAACAAACCACTTTTCATACGACCAACGCAATTCTGTTAAAAAAAATATTAACACAAAATAGCATCAAACATTATAACAACTGAACAAAAAGAAAAAGAAGTTAAAATCTGCGAGAAGTACGCGAACTTGGCAACCATGGCGGACAGAGTACAGATATCGTATTG